GAATATTTCTGACTTATTTAATATAAAGAACACTCAGTATAATTTACGGAACAGTGACTTCGAACTGCCAAGATTCGAAACTGTAAGATTTGGTAGGAATTCTATTAAATATATAGGACCTCTCATCTGGTCGAAGTTACCAAGACACCTAAGAACGATAGAAACTCTAAATTCGTTCAAGAAGAACATAAGAAAAGTCGACCTTTCAACTCTCGTTGAAATTTAAAACTTAAATTGTTGTTTAACTAAATAACTTTATAATCTTTTTAATTATCTACTGTGAATAACTATTATCTACGTATGTAAATGTATTTGACTTTTAAATTTTTTTAGTGTCCCCCATTAGCTTATAGCTAAAAACATAGACACTTATATAAAGTTTTTCATTCATTCATTCATGTGCACTTAACGAAAAATATATCACATCATATCAGAAGCTTAGAACCTTGAGGCGAACACGTATGTCCGAGAGCTGGGTTATCAGAGCGCGAGATTAACCAATCAGAGTCTACCTTCTAATATGGAGTAGTTTTTCTTATTACTGAATACGTAATAAGTGACACTTTACCGCGGTACTAATCGGGAATACGTAATAAAATTGTAGTTTTCAGTCCGCGAACTCGATCATAGTCCATAGAGAACTGATCAAGGTGGAGTTCAATTTACGGCCGAGTTTATTGTTATTCCTCAATACTTGAGAGTATTATTATTATTATAATCAAACAGCGGAAACTTTACCCCTCAAGCGAGTGAGAGAAGAGCTTAACTCCTAACCGAAAATCACGGAGAGTACTGGAATATGGCCTGTGTAGTAAACGCCATATATCCGAAGCAAAAAACAAAGCTAGTAAAGATGTGGCTAAAGATCCAAACGGAAGGAAAATTAATGGGATACTCGTCTTAAAACAAGGACCTTAAACTGCTGATGTTGCCGAATTCTCTACGCACTGGGTGATAACCTGCCGACGAATTGTAGGAACTTGGAGGGATCGAACTGCTTGACCGACAATTGGATGGTCTTCGCGGAGAACCGGTTCGCTAATACCGACGGCGCTTATCCTTAACCACTTTCCCCTTCGCTCCAAACCAAACTCGCTCATGTCAGCTAGCTTTATGACCTTTATTTTTTTTTTCGATACTAAAGCAGTACCTTCTTCCAGGCGCGATTCCCTCGAGGACTTGAAACTCGTTATCAAGTTGCTATTGGTTTCCCTCCGAACGCATGTACAGTTCTCACGACGAGCCATCTTCACGGCTTGCTCAGCTGTAGCACCGCAACTTACAGGAAAACTTTAAGAAAAACTGGATTCAACCAGCAATGCTTTCTGTAAAGAACCGATCGCCGTCGTAATGGCAGATCTGATTGCTTGATTAGTGGATGAATTCAACACGGGCACGCCATCTTCTGCTGCGTTTGTGATGCGAGATACTGAGGGTCTCCCAGGGGGAGGGGGGGTCCTTGTTCCCTTCAAATATTGTCCTATGTTCCCATGTTCCCACACTGTTTCCTTATTTGTTCCCCGTTTAATAAATTTGCTTGGCACTTATCACTGCCCTCAATTCCCTCCCGCAAAAAAGAATGACACCAAAAACAAAACTTATAAAAGAATAGAATACATTTTATGAGACGTTCAATTTGTGTGACATCATCTCGAACAACTGAGTGAAATTCACAATCCATCAGAGTGGGATGAGCTGTAGAACTAACCTTAATTCTCCTGGTCAATCATCATAATACATAAACTCGTCCAAATTTGCCCTCTTCCAGATTTGGGAAACCTACATATTAACTCCTGCTCCTTCGTTATCAGTTTAGTAATCACTGCATTCCACTGTTCTTGGGAATCAATCTCAAATACTCTGCCTTTTGGACAGTTCGTTGTGACTTGAAACTCTTTCACACTGATCGTCACTCTGAATCTCGCTATGCTTAGCTGGCTACACCGATCTGCGATTCCAAATGCTTCTCTAACTCGAACAATAAAATCAAATAATGCCTTGACACTTTCGCCCCCTATTCCCATTTCAAAGGACCAACGCATTTCTGGTTTTTCATCGCCATTTCTATAAATCGCAGCAGTGAGAGGCAGCACAACACGATCGGCAAATCTCTCCGCCATCTTGGCAATCTGTGACAACAGATTCCCGCCAACTTCTTGCACCCAGACTCCCAGCTGATTGCTTTGTCTTTCATTTGTTTGATTTCTTGTGTTCGTAAAGTAAGACGTAACCAATGACAGTAGTGTATAAATAACCATAAATCAAATCTCAGAAATAACGGTCTTTATTTTTTATATCACAATATTTTCTCCCCTACTGAATTTGTACAGTTTTGTTCCCCTGTTCCCTAAGACTAGGCTTATGTTCCCTTGTTCCCTTCAATATTTTGCCAGTGTTCCCTTGTTCCTTGAAACCCCTGGGAGACCCTCGATATTGGAAGTTCATTCATGTTAAAATCAACTTCCCGTGCGGTAATGTTCACCAACCAGAAGGACGAATACTCAGTTACTCATTACTTCTATATATAAAGTTATATAAATAACTTAACACCTGAGAGACATACTGAAACAATCGTTAATAAACACAAAAATGTCATCCAGAACATGCAGTAAACAAATATCTGCTTAACATCGTAGCACAGATATTTTAATATTCTAGAGATAAATTCATAAATAGAAGTAAATATAAGCTTGGTCAGCGTTATAAATGAGTTAAGGCCACAGTAATTTCAATTAATTTAACGTTACTAAGTTGTACGTCAGACTGAATTACAGGAATTTATAGAAAGAACACTAAAGAGAGTCTAACCACGCAAAAACCGAATTGTGTATTTTTTCTTCATTACTTTTCCTGTTCGTTGGCGTTGATGAAACACTTAAGTGACCTGTATGGATATCAACTGTTCATTTCAAGATCTT